AAAAAATGCCGCGCCAACACGTGGGGTATGCTTCTAGCATACTACAAAATCAAACTACAAGTATTGTACAAACCTAATCTACTTAAAAACCCGACCGGTTTCTTAATCACCTGTACAATAGATATATATACTAGTGCTAAACTCCAAAGAGATCACACCAATCCGACACAGCATTTAGTTTGTTTGTCTTTTAGAAGTGCATTATTGTTTGGTCATCTCATCCAGTTTAAGACTAAGTATATGTAGGTCAATTATAAGGCAAGCCAACAGAAGAAGACGTTTGTTATTGTATCGGTGAAGCTAGCGCTTGCCGTATTGTTTGAGTGTAGCAGGTGGAGAAAATTGTCTTGTCCTTGAAAGCAAAGCCGGTGATAAATAAGGGGCCGTTTGGCACAGCTTCTACTGCCGCTCCAGGATCTGTTTTAGCGCTCCGACAGCCAAACGCGTCCCAACGCAACAGCTCCCCACGAGAAGCCCAAAAACTGATTGAGCTTGCTTGTCCATACCCCCATACCCCCATGATGCCAAGAGGCTTACGGTGCGCATGAGATTTCTTTTTTCCTGTGTCCTGAGTCCAAGGCCACACAGAGCCCAAGCGATAGGGTGCCTTGGCACTGCATCTGCTCATGCTCTGCTCTGCTTTGTTTTTGCTGTGATCTACTTCCTCTTTGCTTTGTTCACGTCTATACGATGCACAACTTACAAAAGCTTACGGAACAGACAGAACACAAAACAGGCAACCGGAGCTCAAAAACTCGTGAAAACGGACATTACAAAAGAAAGGAGCTGGCAAACCAGCCTGCCCTGTTGGGTGACCCGCCTGCCCGGCGCTCGGAGCATCCTGGCCGGCTGGAGCTCTTGGGAGGCTGGCTGGACAGTGAAGAACCGGCCTGGCCGGTCTGCTCGGCTTAGGTCCCCAAAATTCTTCCCAAAAATCCATAGTTGGATCAAATGGCCTCTAAAAATTCCCACAATTTATAGAGATGATTCTTAGGCGTATTAGATGATATCCCCAAAGAATCAAACCCCACAAACTCCAGAAATGAAACAGATCTGAATATCCATCAAGGGAAGTGGGGTTTTCTCAGGAAATCCTCCCAAGGGTGAAAAATTGTGCTTGTGGTGAATCTACCTGATTCATTTGGCAGGGATGTTCATTTGATGTCCTTGCACAAATTCAACCCAACAAAACAACCTTGAAACCTTAGGAACTTAAGATCGAGCAAAATGGTGAAGAGGGGGGCAGAGAGAAGGGGAAAGCAAATCATATTAGAACAAAGACTCAGATCTCAGAGGACTTGATTGCTTTATTTCCGAGATCTACCAGGTCTGGATCTTACAAAGGACAACTTGCAGAAAACTCAAATAGATACAATGTTAACCTCTCACACTGTGGATCTCAATAGCATTAGAACTAGACAACTACATACTAAGGAAACCTAGAGAATGACAACAGGAAAGATGTGCAGATTAGGAGCAGTCATACTCTTATTTATAGAGCTATTGCACAATCCCTAAATCAAAAGGACTATCTCCTAAATCATTTTTATATTAATGGAAATCAAACAACAATTTGTTTTATTTTTGAACTTATTAGCTTATTTAAAATTTTAATTTTAAAAAACGAAGGGAGTAAACCTCCTAGTAGGTCACACAATGAATCATACTAAGCACATGGTAGGTCGAAGTTGTAGCCATTATCATTGTTCTTAGAGTACGCACCAAAGGTAGCCAGTACTAAACTCCAAGGTCATACCAATCGGGCTGCTCAGGGGCATTTGTTATGACCAACTTGCAGCCCTTTCATTGTCATATATATTTGTTTGGTAATATAAGATGTTGGTAATTAAGAATATGTTGAGGACACACTAATTTAGTTCATTTTTTGAACTAACTAGCTTATTCAAAATGTTATCTGAAAAAAGGAGGTCATGGCAATCCGACTACTCAGCAGCATTTTGTTACGACCAACTTGCTGCCCTTTCATTGTCATATATATAGTACAAAATCAAACAACAATTAATGCACAAACCTAACCTACTTTAAAACTCAGCCCTTGTTTAGTTCGCGAAATTTGGATTTTGGAGCTACTGTAGCACCTTTGTTTTTATTTGGCAAATAGTGTTCAAACATGGACTAATTAGGCTCAAAACGTTCGTCTCGCAATTTCCCACCAAACTGTGCAATTAGTTTTTCTTTTCGTCTACATTTAATGCTATATGCACGGGCCGCAAACATTCGATGTGACAGGTACTGTAGCAACTTTTTGAAAGTTGGGGTGGAACTAAACTAAGGCGTCAACTGATTTCTTTAATCACCAGTATAATAGATACATACTAGTGCTAAACTCAAAAGAGGTCACACCAATCCGACACAGCATTTGATTTCTTTGTGCCTTTTAGAAGTGCATTATTGTATGGTCATCTCGTCCAGTTTAAGACTAAGTATATGTAGGTCAATTATAAGGCAAACCAACAGAAGGACGTTTGTTATTGTACTGGTGAAGCTCTTGCCGTATTGTCTGGGTGTAGCGGGTGAAGAAAATTGTCTTGTCGCTGAAAGCAAAGCTGGTGATATAAATAAATAACTCTAAAGTAGAGTTGGTGGCAGTGCACCATCGTTTGTACGTATACCCATTGACCGCATGGTGCAATCAGAGCAAACTTGATTAGTAAAAAATGTTACCAATAAATTTAATTGCACCTCATGCCGCCGGCTCTAGCTGATAGGAGCTTTTGCATATATATTGCCACAACTGGCCGAGTTGATAATGGATTAGTAGGACTAGTTTATAGGCGGTGTGCGTTGAAAAATTGATTGGGCTTGTTTATCCATACCGATGATGCCAGGAGGTATACGTTGCGCTTGAGATTTCTTATTTCGTGTGTCGACCTGAGTCCAAGGCCACAGAGAGCTCAAGAGAGGTATACGTGTTGCGCATGAGATTTCTTTTTTCCTGTGTCCGCCTGAGTCCAGGGCCACCGAGAGCCCAAGCTACAGGGTGCCTTGGCACAGCATGACTATTGCTCTGCTTTCTTTCTGCTGTGATCTACTTCCTCTTTGATCTGTTCATATATACACAATGCACAGCTTTTCCCATGCTTCAAAGTATTATTAAGCAGGCAGGTTGTCTTCCGTTTTCATTCCATCCCAGAAAGCAGAGGGCCTGTATGTAGATATTGGTGTTGTGCGTACGAAAAGTCCCAGGATATGGTTCTGCTGCAGAGATAGGAAAAGCAGAGGACAACCCCATAATAATCGACATGATATCGTGTTTTGGGCATCGACATCAAGAATGATTTGCCTGATTTCAGGAACGTCGATCAGGATGAGCCTACCATGTCTGCTCGCTTTCTGTTATTGTTGTACTACAAAAGATTTCATCACCACATGTTCAGTTCATTATAAAATCCAGGACCTCGGGTCCATTACTTGAACAAATATACATAGGCCCATTACATAAAAAAATTGTTATGCAGTGAAGAAATATACACATGCCCAAGACTACAAGAGCATCGCCAGGCTTTCCAGCACCTTGGTCTCTGGTTAACATGATTTGGCAGTATGTCATCGGGAGGCTTTCATCGATAGCCGAAGTAAAAGCAATGGAGCAATGTGTATTGTGTGCTAGATACAGGTGAGGTGAGCTTCATCTGCCGATCGGATCTGACTCCTACTGGCCACTGCAAGCTAGCACCATGCGGCTCTGCCATAAGCAAGGATCCCTGCATGCAACAACTAATTATTACACTATCAATGCAAAAATAAAGATACTTGAAAATACTAGAGTGCATAGTAAGGGGTACTACGTAAAGCAGTACGACTGCACATGTAGGTGCACTGAACATGTAGGTGAGCCATAAGTAATACTAATTACCTCAATATCAAACGTCATTTATTTCTGATAATATGGCCTTGCGACGCAAGAGAGAGTTTCTTATCCTGCAAACTAATTTTGGCGCCGAATGATCACACGGTTACTCCGTTACATCTTGATGCTGCTGTCGAGTGGAGCATTCCTGAACACATCATTCCACAAACGAAGGAGTAACAGCATCACACGGTTACTCAGTTAATTACTTCCTGAATCCTGATGCTGCTGTCGAGTACGTGGAGCATTCCTGAACACATCATACAACATCGTTCAACAACCAAAGGGGTATCTACCGCCTAGCAAGGGTTGACCAAGTGGAGCAACTTGCCTCTGCCACTCTCTACCTAGGAGGACTTGATTCCTTTGAGCAAACAGTTTCTGTGAGCTGCTGTCTTCCAAGGTAGGCCACGATATATATACAAAGGAGCCTAGGCCCATAGGCAAGAACCCGAGCATGATGGCCCGGATTTTTTTTTCAAGCTGTGCGAAAAAAGCTGAGCACGCGTGAGCTGTGGTGGCGTCGGCCATCCCCAGTTGCCCTCCACCTCACTGTTGTTAACATTTTGCAGATCGATCTTCTCCGTTACATTTTCGTTAGCATGCAAAGAAGGCAAAGTAGCAAGGGGATATGGTGCTTGCAAGGGTCGGAAAAGCGGAAGGACAAACTCTGGACGAAGGAGAACACCATTATGGCCCAAAAGTAGCAGAGTTACAGGTGTTGCGTTTCTGCTATGCTCTGTTACGTTTTCCTTCCTTTCAAAGCAGAGGATGTGTGTATACGGTGCATATATATATTGGTGCAGGGTACAAAGCATAGGATTAACATACACTTCTTGCAGGCATAGGAAAAGCAGAGGACAACCTTGATTATAGTACTTACAGGACAAATATGAAGCTTTTCTTTAAAAGTCCTTACATAGATTATTTTTTCATCAATTCAAACATCAATTAATAAAAATACAAAAGTCTCCTCTTTGGAGACATTGGTTTGACCGGCTTTTCCATCCGCCACTCGCAACCTCCTTCCTCTCCCCTGTTCTCCGACCCGCCGCCGCCGCTCCTCACCAAATCCCTACCCGCCGTCGCCCCTCTATCTCGCTGTCCTCCCGTCAGGTAGCAAGCAGGGATGACCGGCAAGGTCGAGGACCCGGCTATTATCGGGATCGACCTCGGCACCACCAACTCGTGTTTCGGCATCTGGCAGCACGACCGCGTCGAGATCATCGCCAACCACCAGGGCAACCGCACCACCGTCCTACGCTGCGTTCACCGACTCTGAGCGCCTCATCGGTGATGGCGCCAAGAACCAATTCGCCATGAACCCCATCAACGCTGGTATCATTGAGAACTGTCTTCGGTGAGCTGACCCAGACCCCCTCTCCGGCAGTCCGGCCGCCTTCGTTGTACTGAACTCCTGATGGTCCCTGCTCTACTGCTTGTTGGGCTAGATTAGATCTGGCGATTTTGGCTCCTGTTCTAGCACAGCCTGTATTGATTTTTGCCGTACGCCAGTGCAAAGTTCTTGACTTCTCAAGGGATCCCTGCGATGTCGTTTATCACTTTGAGTACCTTTGACGCATCTGTTGCTGGTTGCTAGTTATTTCGCTCAGAGCTACTGGATCTACGCACCTGCTTAGTTCAGTTGACTGCTGTTGGGATGGTTGACTTCAGGTTGACTCTTGTTTCTCTTATGTGTCAACTTAATTGGTAACTGAAAGGATATTATTGTTTTATTATACTTCGATTGCCACATAATTTCCCTGCATGTGCCCTGTCATTAGGCTGTTGTGTGTGAGCCAGAAAAAAAAACTTTTTTTATTGAAGGGGGGAATTGAGGATACTATATCCATAACACGCGTCTGCATCTCGGATGATGATCCAAGTACATCATGCACTACCATCTGATCTTCCTTAACAAAAAAAAAATCTCGTAAGTGGTATGTACACTATTGCCAGCACATCAGACCTGTATATATAATCGGGCTGTTCGGCAGGACTTATTTACGCCTGGTTACGACTGTTTCAATAGTGTGTTCTGTGAGAGACATTGGGGCTGCTGAAGTGTTGAAAAACCGCTGAAACCAGCAGCTGAACAGGCTGAATACCTAGAAACAAACAAATAATGAGATGCATCGATAACACATGTTATATGCGAACGTCGATGAACTACGCTGTACAATAATCAGCTGCCAGTGCTTTTTGTGCATGCATGGCGACCAGCTGTCCTACAGACAGTCTTTCCACATCGTTGTAGATCTCGAGCTGAGTATGGTTGCGTCCTTAGAAAGAAAAATATATGCTACTAGTGCCACATCGTTGTACATCATCGTACAGTACATATGGTTGCATGGAATTTTTTGTGGTGGGCAGTACTTTCAAATGTTTGCATTATAGCATCTTCATTGAAAAATTTAGAATCGGCTGGGAAGGCTAGAATCCCTCTGCCTATCCCTATCGCACAACCAAAAACATTGACAAGCCGATGTAAGCCCACTCTTTTTTATTTCCTATATGTACCTCTGTCTGCTCTCTTTTCTTTCAGAACAGCCCATGTAATGTAACCCTAAAATGGGGACTGTCCTCTCTAAATTTCCGAACTCTTGAGTGCTGCCTTTGTTTAACATAAAAATTAAAAATTACTCGCCGATCTTGACCTCGGAAGTCTACACCTAATTAACCAAGATGCTTTGCTCTGTCAAATGGACGTGTTAGATTATTGTTACCGCTTGTTGATTTGTGCGAGCCAACACTCATCCAATAATTAACAGAGACAGTCTAGCAAGCCGAGGTACTAGTAGCATTAAATTTTGCCATGCTGATGAATAACGCCGATGACTTAACACGTTCTTGCATCACTGCTAGTAGAGTTAGGTGTATATCAATAAAATGGAACGACCAAGTTGACTCCAGCAAAGAGCACCTAACCGAGATGCTTCATAATTTTTTACAGTGCCAATTTCAAGATCTGTATTGTTAACCATGCGGCCAAACGTCTAGTTCACTGATGAAGATGCCAATTAACAGAAACAAATTAAGTCAAGCGAGGACCCAACTTGAGCCCAGTTAACAGAAACAAAGCGTACCCGGCCATCTTGAGAGCGCACGCAGCCCGAAAAGCTGACCACATGATGAATACTGTATTGTTCAGTGCAGTTTCATTTCTTGCTTATTGCAAATCTCACAGACTTCCTTGATTTGCGTTGTCTTTTGCTTAACGGATAGTCATGGGCCAAGAGGAAGATACCACGGCTAGTCATTGGATTTCCAAAAACAAAAAAGAAAAGAGAGCACATGCCATGCCTTCCCCTGCACGCCAATCAACCAGGCTCGCGCATCAAGTTGACTGACACAAGTCCTTTGTATATTTCACGTTCATCGATGTATCATAAAAAACTGTTAAAAGATCGAATTGGAATCACATGCATGCCCACTTAAGCTTTCACTAATCTATTCACAAACGAGAAAACTTTTCAGTAATCTGCACAGATCGAGCACCGGAATTACCGGAAAACAATAAAGCTGGCCTGCTGGGGTCACATGCATGCTTCGCGTGTCGTGTGCACGGTCATCTGCCAAAGCCCATTTTTAGTACAAGTACCGTGTAACAAACTATTCATACTGTTGCTCTCCCATCATCACGCCGCTCGTTCAATGTCAAGCCAGGTAATTGTTGTTTCTGCCTCTGACTCAGTCTTTGCCTCGGGCATACGTGAAACCAGTGCCTCACACAAGATGTTTTGTTTCCTCCGACTTGTGAAGGAGAGCTTTTCTTTCCTCCGAGCAAATGTAGACCGGAGTTGCCACGAGGCAGGCCCTGTAAAAGAATATTTGTTTATTAAATTAGCCGGTGCCAATGTGCCCTCGTGAACCTCGCGTGGAACAGCATGCAGATTCCCAGACGCGATTAAGACAAAAGGTGAAAAATTCATTATCCTAGTACTCTATGTTGATGACGTCCTATTAGCAAGCAACGATAAGAATATTGGATCCACCGATAGCGCCAATTGATTAATGGGCTTGACTGGGCTGCCATTCTAAGTTTTGAACCACCCAGTCTTGCCAGCATGTTAATGGGTCGATGGCGTAGTCAGAGGCGGCATGACCAACTTGATGTTGTCCATCGAGGGTGTACTCGAGCGTTGCTGCCGATGACGTAGCAGGATGCGGCGTCACTGACTTGTGGTAGACCATCAAGGCTGTACTCGACGTCGACTCGACTTATCGTTGTGCATCGTGTTGCAGCCCCTGACTTTCTGCTAAGTTGGAGGTCAACTTAGTAGAAAGTAAGAGCAAAAATAACATAATAAAAACAATTATGGAAATGACCTAGCTGATTCAACAGGATCTTGGTGCCATTGTTGTCGATGGTGGTGATATTGATGACATCGAGTGCTACCACGAGTGCCGCGATGAGAGGTCATGTGTGATCGACTCGAGCAAGCCTGTCGACGACGTGCTCGAGTGGTAGTTGTTGATGATGTAGTCGAAGATGGTGCGGCTAGCCTGAAGTAATTATCGATGGTGCGCCGGAATTGTCATTGTTGTTGATGAGGGGTGAAGGGCCGACGACGAACTCCGAGCTGTCGACGAGGGCTGAGGAGTCAACTACGAGTGCCGTTGATGAGGGACGACGAGATCCACGCAGTCGATGACGAGTGCCGTTGATGAAGGACGACAAGGGGCGAGGCGTGTTGACGACGTGCCATTGGCGCGGGACAACGACGAGGGTCGCGACGTGCTAACGTCACGTCGACGGCGCGGACGACATGAGGGTTGCCACATGCTGACGACGCGTCAACAGCGCAAGACGACGACAAAGGGTCGTGACTTGCCGACGACTATGAGAGATGCAGTCGAATTTCTGCCAATAATATTCATGTAGATATGTGGGGATATCCAGGGATATTCAAATGCCATAGAAAATATTTAATAAAAACATGACTTAGCTTGGTTATGTTGTCGCATGCTGCCACGAGTTGTGTTAGGACACGGAGTCGTATTGCTGGCGGTTGATGGTCACCATCGTGAGAGACCGGGTTACCACGGACAATGTTGATGAAGAGAGCCGCAGCATGTTGTTGACGAGGGCCTTGACTGGATGTCGACAAGCCAACGCGAGATGACGACTGAGTCGACGGTGACGGGACGACAACGATGGCCGACGCAGGTCGACGACAAGTCGACGGCGAGGGCCGCCGCGAGATGATGACATATAGACGGCGAGGGGTGTCGATGAGGACCGCCGCGGGACGACAAGAAGTCAACAGTGAGGGACTTCGACAAGTCGATGATGCGAGTGACGCCGAGAGCCGTCGAATAACGGCAAGGGACACTGCCAATAACAATCACGTAGATACATGGAGATATCTAAGAATATACATTTTCTGTAGAAAAATATTTAATCAAATTGAAATAAAAAAATATTTAGCTTTTTAATGCATATAAGTGTGTGTCGTCCCTTAATGAAAAGCCTCGGGCAGGGTTTGGTGTTCATGTCACGGATGCGTGGATCGGCAGCAACAAAGGAAATTAGCCCTTACGTGCATGTCCGGTACGCGGGCATCTGTAGCTGCCAGCTTTGCTTGACGAAAATCCAGCGAGACGCGGAGTCGTGCTGGAGACGGTGGGGTGGTGGTGGGATCCCGGCCTGTATATCGTACGCCATCCGCCGCTCCAAACTGATTGCAGATCGCGATGAAGCCTGTTACGTGGGTGCAGCCCGCGGCATTATAGGCGCTAAAATCGCCGATCACTGCCAAGCCTGACCCGTCGGGTTGTTACAATATGCCGGTCGACGCGGAGCTCCGAGTGCAGCCGTGAGTTGCCTTAGGATCAGACGAATCTCATCATGGGCTTGAGAAGGGTGCCGCACGCACACCATGTTGAGAGACGTCATCTCGGCCCGCTGAGCCGCCGTGGATGTTTGTGAAGAAAATCCCTATATGAAACACGCTAGACATAGATCTCTGCGCAAAGGCCCCTTCCTACCCGGCACACCAACTGCCGGAATAATTACCTCCGGCAATATGGATCAGCATATCATGCACAGGTAATCAGAAGGGGCACAGATTTATATTGGTTTAGGTACTTGGTACCCTACATCTGGTTTTGAGTAGATCTCTTATCTCGTATGCTCGGATTTACAGGGGCACTGATGGCTAGTTGCCTAGCCGAGACGAGGTGTCTTGGGGTATGTTGGGATACCGATTGGGGGCTAGCCACTCCTCATTATATTGTCCAGCGGTTGGCACTACTGGAAACTCGAATATTTCTGTGGGT